CCTGGTTTTGGTATTAGGGTGATGCTGGCTTCATAGAATGAGCTTGGAAGTGTTCCTTCCTCTTGGATTTTTTGTAGTAGTCTGAGGAGGATAGGTTTTAGTTCTTCCTTGAATGTTTGGTAAAACTCCCCTGTGAAGCCGTCTGGTCCTGGGCTTTTGTTTGCTGGAAGCTTTCTGATGACTGCTTCAATTTCTTCCATAGTTATTGGCCTGTTGAGATTTTTAGATTCTTCCTGATTAAGTTTTGGAATGTTGTATTTTTCTAGAAATATGTCCATTTCCTCCAGGTTGTCTAGTTTGTTGGAGTAGAGTTGTTCATAGTATTTTTTAACAATCATTTGTATTTCTGTGGGGTCTGTTGTTATTTCGCCTCTATCATTTCTGATTTGGTTTATTTGGGTCCTCTCTCTTTGCTTTTTGGTGAGCCTGGCTAGAGGTTTGTCGATCTTGTTTATCCTTTCAAAGAACCAGCTCTTGGTTTCATTGATTTTCTGTATTGTTTTTTTGGTCTCTATGTCATTTATTTCTGCTCTAATCTTTATTATCTCCTTCCTTCTGCTCACTCTGGGCTTTTCTTGTTGCTCTCTTTCTAATTCTTTGAGCTGTAGATTTAGATGATTTACTACCATTTTTTCTTGTTTGTTGAGGTAGGCCTGTAGAGCTATAAACTTCCCTCTCAGGACTGCTTTCATTGTGTCCCAAAGGTTTTGGATTGTTGTGTTTTCATTGTCATTAGTTTCCAGGATGTTTTTAATTTCTTCTTTGATCTCATTGGTAACCCAATCAATATTTAATAACATGCTATTCAGCTTCCAAGTGTTTGAGTATTTTGGGTTGTTTTTATTGTAGTTTATTTCTAATATTATGCCCTTGTGGTCTGAGAAGATGCTTGGTATGATTTCAATCTTCTTGAATTTGGGGAGACTTTGTTTGTGACCCAATATGTGGTCTATTTTTGAAGATGTCCCATGAGCACTTGAGAAGAACGTATATTTTGTTGCTTTGGGGTGAAGTGTTCTGAAGATGTCAATTAAGTCCATCTGATCTAGTGAGTCATTTAGGATTGCTGTTTCTTTGCTGATTTTTTGTCTAGCAGATTTATCCAGTGATGTCAGTGGTGTATTAAAGTCCCCTACTATGATTGTATTGTTGTCGATCTCTCCCCTGATGTCTTCCAGGAGTTTTCTTATGTATGTGGGTGCTCCTGCATTGGGTGCATATATGTTTATCAGGGTTATATCCTCTTGTTGTATTGATCCCTTTAGTATTATGAAGTGGCCTTCCTTATCTCTTGTTATGGCCTTCACTTTGAGGTCTATTTTGTCGGATATAAGTATTGCTACCCCAGCTTTTTTTTCATTTCCATTTGCCTGAAAGATATTTTTCCATCCCTTCACTTTCAGTCTGTGTGAGTCCCTTCTAATGAGGTGGGTCTCTTGTAAACAGCAAATGTATGGGTCATGTTTTTTTATCCATTCAGCCACTCGATGTCTTTTGATTGGACCATTTAGTCCATTTACGTTTAAAGTTATTATTGAAAGGTACTTGTTTGTAGCCATTTCTTTTTTTGTGTGGCTGTTTTCTTTCTGGGCTTTTTATTTCTTCTTTTTACACCAGTCCCTTTAGCATTTCTTGCATTGCTGGCTTGGTGGTGATGAACTCCCTTAGCCTTTTTTTGTCTGTGAAGCTTCTTATTTCCCCTTCAATTTTGAATGATAGCCTTGCTGGATAGAGTATTCTTGGATTCAGTCCTTTGCTTTGCATCACTTTGTAAATTTCTGTCCATTTTTTTCTGGCCTGATGTGTTTCTGTTGAGAAATTATTTGATAATCTGATTGGAGATCCTTTGTAGGTAACTCTCTGTTTCTCTCTTGCAGCCTTTAAGATTCTCTCTTTGTCATGTACATTTGCCATCATTATTATGACGTGTCTTGGTGTGGGTTTTCTGAGGTTCATCTTGCTTGGGACTCTCTGTACTGGTATAACTTTTTTCTTACCCATATCAGGGAAGTGTTCTGTCATTATTTCTTCAAGTAGATTTTCTAATCCTTGTTGCTCTTCTTGTCCTTCTTGCAGCCCTATTATGCGTATGTTACTTCGTTTCATGTTGTCCCAAAGCTCCCTTAGGCTCTCCTCCTGTTTTTTAATTTTTTTCTCCAGTTGCTGTTCAGATTGAGCTTGTTTCTCTGCCTTATCTTCTAACTCACTAATTCGGTCCTCTGCTTCTTTCAGCCTGCTGTTGAAACTTTCCATGGTGTTTTTGATTGTAGCTATATCACTTTTCATTTCTTCCTGATTCTTGCATAGGTTGTTGATTTTCTCATCCATCCGGTGAATGAATTGTACAACCATTACTCTGAATTCTTTTTCTGTCATGTTGCATGCTTCAATCTCATTAATTTCCTTTCTTGGCGACTCCTCATTTTCTTCCCTCTGGGGGTTGTGTCGTCTCCCCATTCTGATTATCTCCAGATGGTTCAAATGTCGAGTTGCGGGGGCCTGGGCCATGTGCAGTGGGAGCTTTGCACCACCCTAGTGTCACTGAAGAGCTCTGACACTAAGATGTGTGGTTGTGGTGTGTTGGTGGGAACCAGGCTCGCTCTGAGTCAGTGTTACTAGCGCTCAATGTGGCCTCGTGTGTGCCCTTAGAATCAGGGACTCCGCCTTCACCGTGCTGAAACAGAGATCCCCCTGGAGTGTGTTGAAAATCAGAGCCCCCTAAGATGCACCAGGAGTCAGAGTTCCCCAGGAATCCAGTATGAGGGTCTCTGTTGCTTCGCTCGGCCTCTCATTGAGAATCAGGGTCCCTGTGTGCCCATGCACCAAGAATTGGAGTCACTGGCTCTTAGTATGAATGCACAGGGAATCAGGGATCCCAGGCGCAGGTGATAAGAAACACAGTGAAGTCACTGGTGCTTGGTGCTACCTCCTGCCCGGAGAATCGGGGCCCCGGGGCCCGTGCTGCGCGGGAGAAGTTCCCGGTGTTCACACGTTAGCTCCCAGGCCAGGGCTCCTGTAGCCCGCGCTGCGCGGGACCAGTTCCCAGTGTTCTCGCACTTCCAGGCTAAGGTTCCTGTAGCAGCACTGAGTCCCGGGCAAGGGGTGGGTCTACTATCAGTTACTATGGCGCTGCCCGCAAGCCTGCGAGGAGGGGGATGGGCTCTGTTGCTCAGGGATCTGCCGCGGGGATTTCTGGACTCTTGGTGTCCGTGGGTCTGTAGCTGTGGTCGCAGGTCTTTGTCCCCAGTGGCTGCAGGGTCCTGGTTTGTGTCTGAGACCAGACTGGGTGGTGCCGAGGCCAGGATCCTAGTCTCAAGCAGCTCTGTTTCTCAAGATGGCGTGGTCTCTGTGCCCGTGCTGGCCACCCAGGAGTGTCGGCACAGGGGGCAGGGCTCCGCTGTCTAAGACTGTCCGGTTTAGCAGCCCCTTAGAAGACCTGCAGAATCTAACTGTCTCTAGCTCATACACACACACACCACACCCGTCCACACACTCCTCTATCACTCCCTCGCGCTCTCACACCTAAACAATACTTTCTTAGTGATTTCTTCCTCAGTACTTTAACTGTTCTTTCGTTCTTTTATTTTTCTCTTTCATGGATGCCATGTTCTTTGGAAGCTTGTTTAGACCAAGTTAATGTCCTTTTAGGCTTCCTCCACGTGAATAGGAGTTTACTTTTTGAATAATAAGAATTATATTCAAAATATAATTATATTTCAAAATATAATTATATCTGAGAGGCATCAGGATTTTAGAGATGCTTAGGTGGGGGATGGCCAAAAAAAGGTTGGGGACCACTGGTCTAATGTATGTGCAAAAGGAAACAATTTTAAAAGGAAAATCCTAAAGTCTTCCTTTGAAGAAGCAGCTATTTCTGGTTTCTTTCCCCTTAAGTTATTATAACCTTCCAGAAGAAGGTTCCTTTGAAATTGAGAAGGCCAGTTTCTGATCATGCCTGTTTGAAAGCCCCTGGAATCATTTATGGGCTTCCCGTGTTTACTTCTGTGTTAAAGGGATGGTGTAGGGTCAGGTGTATAAGTGCTAAAGTAGTTCTTATTAGCTGATGGATAGAATGGCGGTATTTTTCATCTGGAACGTTTGCACTGTGCCACTAAGTGTGTAGACAAGTCAGGCCCTTAGCGGTAGTTCTGCCATTTCCTGGTTGCCTGATCTGAGCACATTATACAACTGCTCTGAGTTGTGGTTTTCTTAACTGATGCATAGGATGATTTCTTACAGAATAGATTTGGTTCTTTAAGAATACCTTGGAAACCACTGGGTGCCATACAAGTGTGAAGAGACCTTTCGGTGGATGGGCCAACACTGTAACCATTTAGTCACACCGGCCAGGGCCTTCAGGATTTTTTAATGTTGGCTGAATAAAAAGGTAGAACACTTTGTGGCTCAAGGAACACACATCTGTGGGCCAGATTTGGCTGTAGGCTGCCAGCTGATGGCCTCTGCTGCCGTGTTCTATAAACATGACCTGTTGTTATTGGATGTTCTGGAATTTAAATAACCTTCCAGGAGCCTTTCCATTAGGGTCCTTCTAGGAGTATTTTTCTTGTGCTCTCTTGGCTATCCTTGCAGTGTCTCCCCAATATACTCTGGGCCTGTTTTGTTACAAATTCCAGGGATTTTCAGTTTGTGTCTCCATTTGAAGACATTCTGAACCTAGATGTGCAGGCAGGCTGGGAAAACAGATCTCCCTAACGGAGAGATTCACTATGTTGGTGTGAATGGTTTCTACCCCTCCTTTTTTTGAAGGTCAGGGTATAGATTGTCTGCTGCCAAACAGGCCCCGGTGCTTCTTGAATTTACTGAGCCACTGGGACAAAAGATGATCTATTGCATACCTGTGCTGTGTATGTGTGTGTCTGCAGATCTGTGTGTGTTGGGGTTGGGTAGAGCATGTTCCTTCTAAAGGGGCTGCATACATGGACATGTGTGTTGCTCCTAGAAATAGTGTTTTCATCCTTTTTTAAAAATTTGTGTTACAGAAAAAAGAGTTTGACGTGGACACCCTCAGTAAATCAGAACTCCGTATGCTCCTCAGCGTGATGGAAGGGGAGCTGGAGGCCAGAGACCTGGTCATCGAGGCCCTGCGGGTAAGAACTTTCCAGCGCCAAGTCCCATTGCTATGGCAACTTCTTTTTTCAAAAGGCCAATGGTGAAGCTTCTTTTTCTTAGTTTTTCAATCATGTAGATTTAAAATGTTTCATCATGTTAAGACGTGCACTCACTCCAGACATCAACCCGTAATCTTTGTAAATCCAAACACTGAAGTTATGGGAAACTTGAAAATTAAGTGCTTTTGGTTCCCCAGTCCTTTTATGTTTCGTGCATTTATTTGGTTAAAGACATAAGTTTTCAGAATATTGCTAATTTGGTATCTTACATGTATTATGAGGTCAGTAAAGAAAAATTAAGAGAATCATTTGTAAAAGATATTGCTGATAATAGAGCCTTTTCCTTCCTATATAAATTATAAATTCTTATTTTCAGAAACTCAGAAGAGTTAAAAACTAAATGTTTATATATATCTTCAAATGGTTTTGTTACTTTTTCATCTGATCTTACAGTGATTTTGAAATTTTTATAGTAGCTTGTGAAGCATTATTTTCTAACATATTTCTTAAATACCTCAATACAGTTTGTTGTTGTTTTTTTAAAAATGTTGTTAAACTTTCTCAGTGAAGAATTTTCTAACTGGTTGTTCCCAATCTTTCACTTGTTTTGGTTTGTGAGCCAAAGTTAAACTTTTTTCCTCTCTCTCTTACACTTAGCACTTTGTATGCAATCAGGTATTTCCTGGCTCTTGGTCATTTTGACACGATGGGTATATTTATTATACGTGGAGTATGGATATCTTTTCTCACCAGGGAGTACTTCCTCAAACTTTGCCTTAGGGAGTTCATTTTAACATATAAAAATCTGAGGAATGTCAAAAAATCCTTGCCTCCGATTGGCACTAATATGGTGGGGGCAAGAGGTAATAACGGAGGGTGGTCAGACATAATGGAGAAGGTGGATATGCTGAGAATCCAAGTGTGTGGGGAAAGGGAGACACAGTTCCTGAAAAAGACTTAAGTACATTTTCACAAATTGAAAACTAATACAATGGGGATATTGATTATTCCTGTCTGATGACGGAGCATAATTGCCTCAGAAAAATGGGAGTATAGTTATATCATCTGCAAGCCAGTGTTTCAGTTGAAGGTGTTGCTTTTTGAATGACAGGTGTTGCTAAGTAGACGTGGGCAGTTGGTTATGAGAGGTTTTCGTCCTGCTCCACATTTGGAGCATTTGCATTGCTTGCCAATGTCTATTTTCTTGAATGAACTTGTGGGAGAAATGCTAAGGCGAGTGTATCACTAACTTGTATGAGCCTCAGTCTAGGAGAGAACAGGGTGCCATCACCTGTAAGGCCAATAGGTAGCCTCTTGAGACCAAACGGATGTGAAGGTTCCAGTTCTGCCTTAGGTATTTTCTTTCTTTCCTTCTTTTTTCAAATACATGATTTTCTTAAAGTTGATTTGAGAGCGAGAAGCATCGATGTGAGAGAGAAACATCGCATCGATTGAACCAGCAACCTTTCGGTGCACAGGACGATGCTCAACCATCTGAGCCATACGGGGCAGGGCTGCTTTAGTTATTCTTCTGTCTCTCTCTATTAACCTGTAAAAGGCACCATCACCATGACATTTTCCACTGCTCCCACAGATGTTTAAGAGTGTAGTGGAGTCCGTGCTTTTAAGTATCACCTTAGCAACCACATGTATTTCTCTTTTTAACTTAATTGCAATACTTTCAAATGTAAAAGTAGAGGTTAAGAGTTACTTAGGATCAGGGCTTGCGAAAGTGAAAGTTTTTCACAGAATTAAGGAATGTTGGAGATGCAAGGCGCCTTACATATTTTAGGTCAATGTTTTCCATCCCTATCAGATCTAGTGTTTCATTTTCATGAAGTACTTTGTATTACTCTTGCTATCCTGCAATGAAATTCGTGGATAATTGGATGTGTAAGTAGGTTGTGTTAAAAGTAACCAATATATCGCCCTAATTGTGATAGAAAGTAACAGGAAAGAAATTTATAGCATAACATTGTACATTTCATTATGTAAGTGCTCAGGCATGATTCTACTGGAAGACATGAAAAGGTAGGTAGCTATTTGCACCTCTTAATAGGGTTGCCATGAATGCAACTTTTGTAGAAGAATCCTGATCCAGATGTGCCATATTGTTGACTCAGATACAGTGAGCAGATTTGTGGTGGGTGAGGTGAATTTTCTGAAATAGTGGTGATTCTTGGTAAACTTCATACAGAAGTGCATATTTTTAAAAATTTATCTTTATTGTTGAAAGTACTACTAGTACAATGGGGTACTTTTTTCCCATTGCAGAAGTACATATTAACATGAGAGTTGAGTCCCTGGAAAATTCAATGTTTGTTAAAACTGAAATATGTGAAAAGGAGTTCCTCTGTAGGCTCAAATAGTCATACTGAAAGTTCAAGTGAAAGGAACGAACAGAAGGACATTTGGAAGTTATTGGGGATGTTACTGGATGTATGGCAGACCCCTAGCTCCGCCCCCTGGTGCCAATCACTGGGAAAAGTGAAAATGCTCTCACCTATTTCCAAAATGCCTTCTAGGTACTGCCCCTATGGAGAATCAGTGGGTAATACTAGTCTCCTTTGTTTATAGCAGTGGTTCTCAACCTTCCTAATGCCACGACCCTTTAATACAGTTCCTCATGTGGTGGTGACCCCCAACCATAAAATTATTTTCGTTGCTACTTCATAACTGTAATTTTGCTACTTTGATGAATTGTAATGTAAATATCTGATATGCAGGATGTATTTTCATTGTTACAAATTGAAGATAATTAAAGCATAGTGATTAATCACAAAAACAATATGTAATTATATATGTGTTTCCCGATGGTCTTAGGCGATCCCTGTGAAAGGGTCGTTTGACCCCCAAAGGGGTCGCGACCCACATGTTGAGAACCGCTGGTTTATAGATTAAAATCAAACAAACAAAAAAGAGCCCCCAAAAGATTATTACTTATGTCAGGTCAAAATATGGCATGCACAAACTGGGCGTATTTGGAGATTCTTAAGGCTTATTGTCTTTTTTAAATTGAGAATCTGAGAGTCGTGATTGATTGATTTAGATGATTGTATTAAGAATACGTAATAATGTCCTACTCATATACTAGTCATAGCTGTCATAGCCTCACTGTGGTGATTTACTGATTGACTGTTATTCCTCTGGGGCATTCCCTGGAGCTGGTGAAACTAATTAAATATTTGGGTCCAGATGTGTGATTATGTTGCCTTTTCCTTTAATAATAGAATATAATTTAGTGTCTGGCCAGTGCTCCAGAAAGAAATTGGGCAGGAGAGAGGATGGGAAAGTTTTATTTTTATTTCATATTATGAGCTAAACTTATTCCTAAATTAAAAGTCAAAATCTACTCTATCAGTAATAAGTATGCTGCTATTCAGTACATTCAATTTTTGGGTTTTTTGTTTTTTTAAAAAATATATTTTTATTGATTTCAGAGAGGAAGGGAGAGAGAGAGAGAAACATCAATGATGAGAGAAAATCATTGATCGGCTGCCTCCTGAACGTCCCCTACTAGGGTTTGAGCCCACAACCCGGGCATGTGCCCTTGACCAGAATTGAACCCGGGACACTTCAGTCCATAGGCCAACACTCTATCCACTGAGCCAAACCAAGCAGGGCAGTACATTCAGTTTTATTAAAAGAAAGCAAAAGTAATATTTTTCTGAATGTAATAAATGTTTTTGAACCTAATATATAAGTTGTGGGGTTTTTTAAAATATAAAGATACCTAATTTGTTCCATGAAATTTTCTGTTGTTGTTGTTAATCCTCAACTTAGAATATTTTTTTCCATTGATTTTTAGAGAGAGTGGAAGCAAGGAAGGGAGGGAGACTGGGAGGTAGGGATTGAACCCACAGCCTAGGTATGTGCCCTGACTGAGAATCAAACCTGCAACCTTATGGTGTATGGGATGACACTCCAACCAACTGAGCCACCTGGCCAGGGGTAGAATTTTAGAAAGTTTAAAAAGATATTTTATACCAAGCTATTTTACTTTTAAAATCATGTTATCTTGATGCTTTTGATTTTTCCATTATCATAAAAATTGCATAGATCATTGAATTGATGGCGATGCACATTTTAGTTCAGTCCATAACTGTGATTTTTGGAGGAGGGTGTTGTTAGGTCTGATCAAATAATCAAACCAATACTCCTTCCCCTGGGAAACAGACCTTTAGATCATTTCGCAACCGACATTCTTTTGCTTAGATCACATTCCATTTACTAAGACCAGTCACTGCCCCCTCCTGACTTGCCCAGGATCCAGACCTGCCCAGATAATTTCCTGCCAAAAAGCCCGCCTAGAGTCCTTTAAAAACTCCCACTCCCGGTTCCTGGGTGCTGATGGCATTTGGGGGTAGCCCGTCTGATTTCCAGATGATTTAAGACATTTATAATTCTTTACCACTTTTGGCCTTGTGCGTAACTCTTTTCCGCGACCCCAACAGGTGTTATGAAATTACAGTATGTATCTTGGTACAATGTTAGGGTTGCTGAAGGAGGAAGGCACAAGGCCAAAAGGGGTGAAGAATTATGAATTTATTAGGTCATCTGGAAAACCAGATGGGCTGAGCCCCAGAATGGCTCCAGCACCAAAGATGGGGAGTCAGAGGTTTTTAAAGGACTCTAGGGAGGCTTTTTCTGGGCGGAGAATTCTCTGTGCAGGTCTGGATTCTGGGAAACTCTGGAGGGGGGAGAGAATGGTCTTAGCAAGTGGAATGTGGTCTAAGCAAGTGGAATGTCCATTGTGAAGTGGCCTCAAGGTCAGTTCCCAGGGGACGGGGGCATCGATTCAATTATTTGATCAGACCTAACAGGTACTTCTACAATTTTTATAAAAATATTTCTCAATAAGTTCTTTTTCCTGATGAACATTTACTATTAGTGAAGGAAAAGTATAGAATACCAGGCAAAATAATGCTTTTTCATATATTAAGAAATGAAGGTGATGTGCCATGAAAGCAAAATATTTG